AACATGAAGTTATAGTCCAAAACCAACTGATAAAACTATTTCGACAAGAATCCTTAAACCGGAAATGGTCGAAAAAATGTCCGATATTTTGAAGAAGACGCAAAAAATGGGTGCTTTTGGGAAAAACGTGATTTCTCCACCCGGTATCAACGGATTAAAGAAATTAAGGTATCGGTGGGTAGCCCGGGGATTTGACTATCATATGATACCAATTTCACACGAATCCTATGAGAGGGTAACAAAATATGACATGCTGAAAATCAAGTATTTTCTGATTTGGAGCGTTTTTGGACGGCTGTATCTCGAAAACTACTCCAAAGATTTTTTTAACACTTTCCCTATCGAGAGTCCCTCCGGTAGTCTTGTGCATGAATCCATCCAATAAGACATTGAAATTTCTGGAATAGGTAAAATAACGTACTGAAAATCAAAAAAAGTTAAAAAATCGTCAAAATTTAGAAAATGCTCTATTATTTCTTTATTTTAACAGATTTTCAAAAAAAGTTATACATTCAGATAGCTGTCCTAATTCAGGAAGTTACGTTCCGATATGCGCGAATATCGAAAGAAACCGAGATCTTTGGATTATCAACTTACATTTCAAGTTTCAACAAAATCGGCATAACACGTCCACATGAAAATGTGGGCGTATAAAAACGTGATTTTTCGTACAAACAGGGGCCATAATCCATGACGTTTCGATCCGATACATGCTAATATCGAAAGCAACCGAGATCTTATGGAGATAAACCTATATTTCAAGTTTCGTCAAAATCGGATAAGAATTGTGACCTGTAGAGTGTCCACAAACAAATTGTGGACGGACGGACGTCCGGACGGACAGGGGCGACGACAATATACGTCCACATTAAAATGTGGGCGTATAAAAATTGTGACCTCTATAGTGTCCACAAGCTAAAAACGTGATTTTTCGTATAAACAGGGGCCATAATCCATGAAGTTTCGATCCAATACATGCCAATATCGAAAGAAACCGAGATCTTTTGGATATAAACCTATATTTCAAGTTTCGTCAAAATCGGATAAGAATTGTGACCTGTAGAGTGTCCACAAACAAATTGTGGACGGACGGACGTCCGGACGGACAGGGGCGACGACAATATACGTCCACATGAACATGTGGGCGTATAAAAATAGCTTCTAGCATCTTCTCTTGCAAAGAAATAACCAATTTCGTAAGGATCACTTTTTAAGACTTTTCGCATTTTTATTACAGTTTATGGGTTCTAAATTAATTATTTATTGCCTGATTTGTATAAAACAAAAGCTCATATCCTGCTTGGTGAAAATTCTCAACTTGTTTCTACCTATAAATTTTTCTGTCGGCACCGGAAGTGACGTAATTTTGCCTAAAATTTAAATTTTGATGGGTCGGGAGGTCTTTTCCTAAGGAAAAATCTTAATTTGTACAAATCTTATCAATGAAGATGAATGCTCCTACTACAGGCGCAAAATATGTCGGGCTTAGTTTTTTGGGGGGTTTTTTATATCGATTTTGTATTTGCGCCATTTTGATATAAGGGTGAAAAAAAAGGAGTAAAAATCAGCTATTTAAAACCCATTCATCGTCTTCATATTTTAAATTATTTCTACGCAACTTTCATAATATTGTAGCATTAATCCATACGAGGATAATGTCACTGAAATTGACGTCATTTGGGCAAAAACTGTATTTTTAGCCCCAAAAACAGATATTTTATTCAAATGAGTCCGATTTGTATTGTTTTTAAAATTATGATATTTGATTCTAATTAACAAATAGAATGAACCCATACGACCATACAGATATCACAAAATGGTTTCTAACTTGTACGGCTGCAGAGAAATAGACGATTTTCTACAATAGATTAAACCCATACGACCATACAGATTTCCACAAAATGGTTTCTAACTTGTACGGTTGCCGAGAAATAGACGATTTTCTACAAGTCACTTTTCAAGGTTTTTGGTCTATAAAAGTGGCCATTTTTATTCGATTTGCATACATTTTCACCATGTAATGCCTTATGTTACCGGAAATGACGTCATTTGGACAAGAACTGTATTTTTAGCCTTCAAAACATATTTTATTCAAATGAGTCTGATTTGTAATGTTTTTAAAATTATGATATTTGATTCCAATCAACAAATAGATTAAACCCATACGATCATACAGATACCACAAAATGGTTTCTAACTTGTACGGCTGCGCCATTTCGATTTAAAGGTGAAAAACGGTGTAAAATTGAGCAATTTACAACCCATTCAGGCGTTTCATATTTTAAAATATTTCTTTGTGACTTTCATAAACTTGTAGCATTAATTCATACGAAGAGAATCTATCTCAAAATTAGTCTGTAATATGAGCAGTTGCCGAGAAATGGTCAGTTTTGCAAGTGTCACTTTTTACGCTATTTTGCCTGTAAAAGAGTCAATTATTATCGGATTTTCATAAAAGTGATACCATTTGATGCGTAATGTCAATTGTGACTAGGTCAAACCAATTTAACATTTTCAATATCATCGGAAATGGCGTAATTTGGGTAAAAACTATATTTATAGCTTTCGAAACAAATAATTTATTCAGATGAGTCGTATTTGTTATTTGTTTAAAATTTGGATATTTGATTCCAATCAACTAATAGAATGAACCCATGGGATCATATAGATATCACAAAATGGTTTCTAACTTGTTCAGTTGCGGAGAAATAGGCGATTTTCAACAGGTCATTTTTCAAGGTTTTTGGTCCATAAAAGTGTCAATTATTATTCGATTTTCATAAAATTTTCACTGTGTGATACCTAATGCCATTTACGATTTTATACAAGTAATTTAAGATTTTCATTATCACCGGAAGTAACGTCATTTTGGCAAAAAACTGTATTTTTAGCCTTCAAAACAGATATTTTATTCAAATGAGTCTGATTTGTAATGTTTTTAAAATTATGATATTTGATACCAATCAACAAATAGATTGAGCCCATACGATCATAGAGATAGCAGAAAATGGTCTCTAACTTGTACGGTTGCAGAGAAATAGACGGTTTTCTACAAGTCACTTTTCACGGTTTTTGGTCTATAAAAGTGGCAATTATTATTCGATTTACATAAAATTTTCACCATGTGATGCCTTATGCCATTTCTGATTTCATAAAACTAATTGAACATTTTCATTATCACCGGAAGTACCGTACACTTACATGTAACAAATGTATAAAATGAATTGATATTGCTGGATTTGGTTGATTCGGCGTCCATTTTATTTGATGTGTGCAATGCTTATGTGGAAACCTGTTTAATGGTTTCATTGGTACCGGAAGTGACATATGTTTAGGGTAACGTGGCACCGGTGAAACCCGTCATTACTGCTTCGCAGTTCTAGTTCTTGTCTGTTACTGTTAGCTATTGGTTACTTCTAGCAGACAATCTGGTCTGCCAGAAACGTGTCTGTTAATTATTGGTTGGGGAATTTGGAGCCATCACAGCTAGTTTAGAAGTTATTTTGGGCGCAGTGAACCTAACCCTAACCCGATTCCCCAACATCTTAGTAAGTTTACGGTAATATATCTCGAAAAGCCAACAAGGGAGGCTTCTAGAATTTTGCAGTCTTGTATTTTATTCATCCCTTGATTATGTGAAATAAAAAACATTTTGCCACCAAAGCTGGTTTCGGTGCCCTTTCTTTTAATGGAAAATAGACGTGCTCCTTTTCTGCGTGCTCAGCGGAGCCACGGTGGCTAGGTGGTTAAGACGCTGGCTCGCTAGCCTGGAGGTCGGGTGTTCGATCCCTGCATTGGCCGAGAAAGTTCATCCTGATTTTCCGACGTGGTTTCCCCTTGTCAGTGGTGCAGGAAAGAGGGCCTGGCCAGGACAGCTGTCTAGTCCTCGGATGAGACGAAAAACCGAGGTTCCCTGAATACATTGGAATGCACGTAAAAGATCCCTTGGCAGTTGGAATTCGATATAAGAGTAGGCGATAGTGCCGCTGCCCGGGCAAAATGTCCCTCATAGCACACTGTATGGCGCATGCCCGTTAAACCCCATTTCAATTCAATTCTGCGTGCTCAGTTAGCCTAGTGTGCGATATTTTAGTATGTTTGGGGACTTTTTTTCGTCCAGTACATATATACTTTACATTAATATGTCTTAAAATGTTATTTTCTAATATATAGGTAACAATTATTTTCGTGATAATTATATATTAATAATTATAGGTTTTTATTGGTGCTAGAGTATGTTTGCTAACTTCATTTCGAATCCGGGTGCTGGAATACGGGTGAGAGATTCCGCTCGGTGTTTAACTTGTCCTAATAGTATAAAATTAGTGTAAAAGATGTTCCATATATGCAAAAGAAATTAAGTCTGCCAGATGAAACTAAAGGCATTCAATCGTAGCTAAAACAAACACATCAGATCAGTACTGACAGTAGCCTATCGATCAATATTTTTAGCTACGTTCTCGTAGCTAAGGCCTACTTTACTCACTACGTTAAAAAGAAACACTGTCGGCTAGATAACGCATAGGCCTACCAGTGGTATCGGTAGAATTCTAGAAAATGTAAACATGGGCCTGTCTACCCTACATTTAATATTTACCAAATTACCACCAGAAGAAGAGATCTGAGTCTAACGTACGGTAACGGGTCCACTGCGTGTTATAATTTAAGGCATGTTTCCATGCAAGTCATCCAGTTCGGTCCCATATCGGCCTGTGGCTGTACATGGGAAGAGTAGGATGTCGCTTATAATATCTTATCTTGTGGGTTGTGTTCCATGAAATGTCGACTAAAGGCCAGGGATGATAACTTTCTAATAAACAATACATTATGCATTCGCGTGCATAAATAACAGACGTGCACTTGCCGCGGATCGTTAGGCCTACTCATTTGTGAACGTTACGTGACGCCAACTATTGAACTAATGCTAATGGCAAATTCGTCTCCTCCCGTTACAATTCCGTATAGGGAAACTTGGATTTGGAAGGAACACGCCTACTTACTTTAAAATCCAGCTAAGCCTAGCTGCACAATTCTGGATCTTCAAATTCTGGCTAAATCATAGACAGTTATACACATACTTTGATACTAACGTAGGCCCTATATCCAGTACCACCCACATAGAGTAAAAATACACTCTGTGCCACCCAGATTATGGCACAATACTGGATCTTCAATTAATCGGTTTCTATTTTGATACTAACGATTATCCAGTACTTTCTTAATTATGCACTTTTTCAATCAGAGTTATCTTTCCGTGATATTTTTAACTGGTTTGCTTCACGTTATCTATTTATAGGATTTTGGCGCAAAATTCTGATCTTTAGGCTAACTCTTACTGTTTTCAACGCACAATACTGGATCTTCAATCATTCCCGTTCTATTTTCATACTAACGATCATTGACGTCATTTATAACGATTATCCAGTACTTACATGCAGAGTTATTTTCTCGAGACAATATAGGCACTCGGCAACCCGGTAACAGTGCTGAGGTTTTCCGAGTGACAATATCGTATGATTTCCGCGCATGTCTAAATTACCACGTTTTACCGATCGCCGCCATTTTTACACCACCGTCACTTGACGTACGGTTTGCACAATACTGGATCTTCAATGAGTTACTTTCTATTTTTCACTCGGCAACCGGCTGCAGATTTCACTCGGCCAACTTCGGTTACTCCTCTACACCACAATACTGGATCTTCAATGAGTTAAATACTGGATCTTCAATTAATCGGTTTCTATTTTGATACTAACGATTATCCAGTACTTTCTTAATTATGCACTTTTTCAATCAGAGTTATCTTTCCGTGATATTTTTAACTGGTTTGCTTCACGTTATCTATTTATAGGATTTTGGCGCAAAATTCTGATCTTTAGGCTAACTCTTACTGTTTTCAACGCACAATACTGGATCTTCAATCATTCCCGTTCTATTTTCATACTAACGATCATTGACGTCATTTATAACGATTATCCAGTACTTACATGCAGAGTTATTTTCTCGAGACAATATAGGCACTCGGCAACCCGGTAACAGTGCTGAGGTTTTCCGAGTGACAATATCGTATGATTTCCGCGCATGTCTAAATTACCACGTTTTACCGATCGCCGCCATTTTTACACCACCGTCACTTGACGTACGGTTTGCACAATACTGGATCTTCAATGAGTTACTTTCTATTTTTCACTCGGCAACCGGCTGCAGATTTCACTCGGCCAACTTCGGTTACTCCTCTACACCACAATACTGGATCTTCAATGAGTTACTTTCTATTTTTCACTCGGCAACCGGCTGCAGATTTCACTCGGCCAACTTCGGTTACTCCTCTACACCAAACCATGTTTCCAAACAGAATTATCTTTCCGTGACCCGCAAATTATATTTTTAACTGGTTTGCTTTTGGCGCAATATTCTGATGTTTAGGCTAACACTGTTTTTAACGGCGTCAGCTTCTTATATTTATTGGGCTACAAACACTAAACAGTTGTCTTTTATTTTCTGAGGAGATTTTCTGACCTGGGTAATGTAAATGAAGTTTGTTACTTTATAGTAGGCTAGTATTTGACTAAAACTGCATAAATCAAATCTTAATCATAGATGTACCGATTGTAAATAATTTTTTTTGCTGACGAAGTCTTTTCTAACTTTTGGGGTAAGACTACTAAGTAGCCTACATTGAAATTAGTGCTAGTACAGTAGAAGTGGTCTTGGCGTCGGGTAATCGATATGAAAACAAGTCTACATTATAATTAGGCCTAGATATCTACCTAGTCCGACTTCATTTCAAGCATTTTATTTATACCCCTTAAGTTGTAGTAGTGACAGTTTAACTACAAGTAAGTGCAACCAACAGGGGGTCACAGTATCGTGACTCGTGGACTTGTCAGGAGTATAACTTGAGCCTGCAGAGAATGATCAATGAGATACACACAAATGGATAAGTCTGATAATCAGTTAATAAATCAGATGTAACTTGTAAATAAAGGCACTGTATGACAGTGTATGTAGGCCTACATATGATATATATTCTAAATACTAATAAATAGGCCTAGTAGTATTGTTTTATTAATATTACCTATTTATTAATTAATAGGGTTTCAGGTCAAACTCAAAGTTTCAAATGATCAAAACGCTCTATATACCAGTCAATGCGTGGGATGGCACCAAAATAAGTGCTTTTCTGTCATATTTGAGTGACGTCATGAGTCATAAGCGGTATTTTCCCTTCAGAATCGCTATACTGGCTAGGCTCTATATAGTACCAATTTTAAAACTGAATGAAATCCGCACGTTATTGTCAGCTAAGATTTATTAAAATCATAATTATATATTATAGATCTAATTTCAAATATTATACTTAACTAATAGAATCAATTAAGCTTTTACTATCTAATATGGTCGAAGCTCAGGTCCTAAAAACGCCTTTAATTTATGGTTTCTGTTATTCTTAAATAGATATTGTTAGGGACCTCATGCTGGAGGTTCGGTCGCATGATCATTTAATGTTCGAATTCTATACAAAATTGTAAAGTCTGAAGTTAGTATCAACGTAATTTGCTTATCTGGTCAACAAAGGTCCATTTACATTGATTTTGATGGAAAATTAGATCTGAATTACATATTACATATTTAAAGTTTATATTTCTTGATTATAAAGGTAGAATTTGAAATTATTTTTTCAGTGTTTTAAATGGGTTGGTTTTTTTTTTTGATGGCTTTGACCATTAAATTGAAAAAAATCAATGAAATGGACCTTTGTTGTGGTGTGGATAGGCTTGGGTGTAGGGGTGCCGGGAGCCCAAGTAGTGTCGTTAAAAAAGTATTAACATTAGTGTTACTTTACTCTTATTTTATGAAAGTTTTTTTCGCAAGTTGATTTCCTTTATTTTTTTAATGTAGAATGGTAATGAACTGCTTTTTTCCTTTTCTTTGCTTTATTTGTTCCGTTTGAATTTGATTTATCTGTTTAGTTTTTGATTGTTTAATTATTGTTTTTGTTAATTAGGTTGATTCTTTTAAACTTTGTTTTTATTTTTATACGTCCGTCGTCCACAATTTCTTGTGAACGCTCTAGAGACTAAAGTTAATATCTGATATTTACTGCCAGAGTTATAGCCCTTGATCACTTTGATAAATCTTGTGAACGCTCTAGAGGCTAAAGTTAATATCCAATGGACTCCAAATTGTTACACAGTGTGTAAGGTCATGAGACGAAGAAGCCTAATGATTTTCAGCGATATCCGATAATTACTACCAGAGTTATGGCCCTTGATCACTTTGAAAAATCTTGTGAACACTCTAGAGGCTAAATTTAAAATCCAATTGACTTTAAATTTATACACAGTGTTTAAGGTCATGAGACAAGACGCCTATTGATTTTCAGCGAGATCTGATGATTACTGCAAGAGTTATGGCATTGATATGTGAGAGACATCAGTTTAAAGTCGATTCTGGTTATTATAATCTAATGTATGAACTTTGTGTTGATTTTACCAGCCTGTAATTGTGGTATCATAATTAATTGTGATTTTAACATTTTTTTTAGTTAACTATATTAAATGAATTCCAAATGTACGTGTTGGCGAGGGGGTACATTAATAATTATATGTTTTTGTAGTACATGTTCCTTGTTTTATAATAAAACTACGCCCTTTCATTTTTCAGAAGAAAAGTATAGAAAATATTTCCAATTATCTATCTTGAGGTAAATCAGTTTATTATTTTCATTAACAGTTCTTATTTTTGTAAATTTTTATGTAAATCAACTACTTGTCATTGGAGTGCATCTCAAAATTCACTTTCCTTATCTACATAAAGTTTATGTAATAAGTTATAGTGTGTAAATTTGAAGTAAGTTCATATGTTTTTTTATTAATTATTTACAGATCACAGAGATTGAATGCTGCAGGTCTTGTGTTTAGTGTATAGACTAATTGGTGGATGTTATTAACATTAACCTTTTAGCAAAGGTTAGCTTGATGATGTTACTGACTTTGCAGTGTAGTGGAAGATGTTAACCTAACTTTGGTAGACAACAAGCCTAACCCTGAAGTCAACGATGTACAATATGTCAGTGTCACTGTTCCACTACCAAACGTAACGCGAATATAAACAATACTTACGGGTACATGTATTTACTTTGATTGAAATGAGGTCAACTTAAAAATTTGTGTAGATGTGTTATTTGTTGTAACAGTTATATCCATAAAAGTTATATCCATAAAATGTAAATTGTATTTTCTCTATATTAGTATAACAGATTAAACGAAATAAGATTATTTCACTCATGACTCGTAGTCACCCACCATCGTAGAAGTGTCAACATATCGAGAACACGCATTCATGAACCATGATTAGTTGGGACAAATTAATAATGAGGAATACTGTTTTCAAAGGCCTTAAGACAGGAAAGTGGTTATTGGTCACAACATTCATGTGTCACTGCAGGGGAGGGGGTGGAGTCAAATGATAATGCATTCGTGTTGGATAATAAGGTCTGTCATTTAGTGAAGAGGCTTAGCTTCGTTTCCAAGAGTAGGGTCGACTGCATTCCCACTGTTAAGATTTCGAGAAACAGGGCCCAGATTCTCACATCAGATACTTGAACCACAGAAAAGGTTACCTTTCAGAAAATTGGCTCTGTAGCCTAAAACTGAATCACCTATATCTCGGTTCAGAGCAAAGCAATCTGACTGAAATTTCAGCATTTTCTGTTTCTATTATTTATTGTTGAACTATTATAGCGAGAACTGTCAGCTCTTATCTAATCTTACCCAATGGCGCCAATGCCCCTTTAAAATGCCCCTTATAAATCTAGTTTAAAATCCAAATATTTGTCTAAACTTTAGACAGACCTTATGATCTACTAGTATTCTCCAGTTGGTCAATTTCACTGCAAGTCAGTCAAAACGGCCAAACATGACTGGCGAAAATAAGACAAATAAGGTTGGAAGTACCTTCAAAACAAACCATGGCACTTGAATCAATGACAGACCTTATGATCTAAAGCATACATCAGACCACTCAACCATACAACTGGTAAAGACTTTAGACAAATATTTGGATTTTAAATTAGAAACAAAACCATACTGTTGAAGATGTAATTGAGACAAGACATTAGACTAGCACTTATATTTATTAGCAAAAAAAAGCCAACAATTTGATTGGTTTTAGTGCTTAGCCAATCAAAATTGAAATTTCTACTAAAATTTGGATTTGATCTTAGTTAAAATTTCCCTACTTTTAAGTTCTGGTAAAATGTCCTTATGTGTCGGAAGTTCTGATTTGTCGACTAAACGAAAGCGACCAGACTGTCCACCGTTGGCTTTGAGAAATGCGACAATTTTGATCGGTGACATACTTTGCGTTACAATGGTGTACATCTGATTTCTAGTGGAATGATTTATAAAGCGAACTGGAACGGGGAGGTTATACAGTAAGCCGTTAATCTGGCGTGTGATATGATGAGGGAAAGCAGGTCCAAACAGTAGATCTTTTAGCATTTTAACTTTAATGAATTCGTCTAGTCGTGCCTGGGCAGCTTTTAAAATAAATCTATCAGCATGACGGTAATGTGGTTTTCTAGGATATTTCTTCTTAGCCTGTGAATCTGTTACTTCTTCCTTCATTTCAACATCTGTGTCACTGGTCTCAGTTTCTGAATCAGTTCCCTCAGCTGTAGTAGCTGTAACGTTTTCTCCTGCATCCTCGGCAGCTTTCTTCAACACCTCCGCTTCTTTAAGCAACGTATCAAAACTGACAGATTCTATCGCTTGATCAGGTTTAGTGTAAGCAGAAACCTGGAATGAAAAACGATTTACTAAGACATGATATCTAGGTTAACTTTAAATAATGGCATTCATCAATTAAAGGTCAAATCTGTGCCTAGCCAGGAAGGCATTTTTATGTGCAATACAAGAGCAGAACGAAAACCAAGGTGGCTCAGTACATGAGGTGCCAGCTCTGTGGATAAGCCATCGGCTCAGGGGTTAAGCCACCAGCTCAGTTGGTAAGACAATGTCTCAGTGGGTAAAGACCCACCTCTGTGGGTAAACCGCTGGCTCGGTGGGTTCTGACTCGGTGTGTAGGACACTGGCTCATTGATAAGAATCTGTTTTTAATCTGGCCAATGAAGTTCCTCAGGTTTTTCCAGCCTTTTTTCGTCTTGTTGCAAGGGCAAGATGGACTGGACAAGAAAAAAGGTCCCTTGTATAGCCATTGGCAGCATGTTGACGGAACGGGAAAAAAATGCACGATACTGGACATGAGATTCTACTCCTTGTCACATACAAGCTTGGCTCAAATTGATTCAAGGACATATCTTATGATCTAAAGGGCATGCATTAGACCACTAGACCAGCCCACCCATATATCAATCTTCTGGTGTTGTCACAGGATAACCCTGCTCAAGGGACAGGAACGTTGCTTCAGTGAAAGGGTGTAGAAATGCAATGCTTGGCTAAATTGGTTTTTATACGCCCACACTGAAATGTGGACATATATTGCCGTCGCCCCCGTCCGTCCGTCTGTCGGTACGTCCGTCGGTCCGTCCGTCCATCGTCCACAATTTCTTGTGAACGCTCTAACGCCAAAAGTTATCATCCAATTGTTTTAAAATTGATATATGTTGTTTTCATTAGTGAGATGAAGAAGCCTATTTAATTTCAATAACTTCTGTTTATTACGTCTAGAGTTATGGCCCTTGTTTCACTTTGTTGAACCTTGTGAACGCTCTAATGCCAAAAGTTAACATACGATCTTTGTGAAATTTATATGCAATATTTATGTTAGTGAAACGAAGAAGCCTATTGAATTTCAACAATTTCTGTTTATTACGTCTAGAGTTATGGCCCTTGTTTCACTTTATTGAACCTTGTGAACGCTCTAACTCCAAAAGTTATCATCCGATCTTTCTGAAATTTACATGCATTATTTAAATTAGTGAAACGAAGAAGCCTATTGAATTTCAGCAATTTCCGTTTATTACGTCTAGAGTTATGGCCCTTGTTTCATGTTATTGAACCTTGTGAACGCTCAAACGAGAAAAGTTATCAACCGATCTGTATGAAATTTATATGCATCATTTAAATTAGTAAAACAAAGAAGCCTATTGAATTTCAGCAATTTCCGTTAATCATCTAGAGTTATGGCCCTTGTTTCACTTTGTTGAATCTTGTGAATGTTCTAATGACAACAGTTATCATCCGATCTGTTTGAAATTGATATGCATGATTTAAATTAGTGAAACGAAGAATCCTATTGAAGTTCAGCAATTTCCTTTAATTACGCCATGAGTTATGGCCCTTGTTTCACTTTGTTGTACCTTGTGGTTGCTTTAACGACAAAAGTTATTATACGATCTGTATGAAATTTAAAGGTATCGTTTAAATTAGTAAAACGAACAAGCCTATTGAGTTTCAGCAAATTTCCGTTAATTACATCTAGAGTTATGGCCCTTGTTTCACATTGTTGAATCTTGTGAACGCTTGAACGACAAAAGTTATCACCCAATCTGTATGAAATTCATATGCATCATTTAAATTAGTGAAATGAAGAAGCCTATTGAATGTCAGCAATTTCTGTCAATTACTTCTAGAGTTATGGCCCTTGTTCTACTTTGTTGAATCTTGTGAACGTTCGAACGACAAAAGTTATCATCCGAACTGTATGAAATTGATATGTATTATTTGAATTAGTAAAACGAAAAAGTCTGTCGAATTTCAATAATTTCTGTAGATTACTTCCTGAGTTACAGCCCTTATTTTAGTTTTTAGAACCTTGTGAACCCTCAAACGACGAAAATTATAATGTCATCTGTATGAAGTTGTCTATTAAATGCCCCCTAATTACCTACAAAAGAACAAATATACGACAACTCTTGTCGACCGCTCGGACGATTTAGCTGCTGTGGGCGTATGTTTAGTTGCCTGGCAACCTATCTTTATATAATGTAGGCCCTATTTAGCTCAGGAATCCATAGCCCTAAAGCTAATTCAAGTATTCAATAGAATAACTTACCTCTATGACTGGTTGTGTTTCGTAGAGCTTAAACAAGATATCAGCTGCTGCAAAATTTCTAGAGCCTATCTTACTAAGAGACACTGCAGGTTCGGTTCCAACATCTTCCTTCTGTATCTTCATCTGACATCTTAAAGTAAAAAAAGAGAGAAATGGGGATTAACACTCACACAAAACAAACCAACATTTTTGGACTGACACCCAGGAGGTTTGACTCAATGAAAGATCTTATGAGCTTGGACCACTCAACCACCCCTAAAAACAAAAGAAGAGTAACAAGCAAACTGAACATTTCAAAATTTTGATCAATGGGACAAGACTAGATCTTAAAGCTACAATTTCATATTTGTTAAGTTATATTTTTAAAATTTATTAAAATAAAGCCTTAAAATAGATGGTATCCATACACAGTCCTACCTTGTTAAAGAATAATCCTATTAATCCTATAATTCACTATTGCCAGCTGCGAAATTGGCAAAATTATCATTTTCGAATTCCAACATTTGAAGATAGCTAATGCATGGAGGCAATAGGAAAACAAGGGAGGTAATTGTGTTATTATTTCCTGTGTCAATGATTTTTAAGGGTGGGAAATAATGCCCATAGTCGTATAATAGTGAGTTGATAACCTATTGAGCAAAAGACATAGAAATAATTATGTTTTGACTTTCATAGAAAATATGAAATTCTGGCTTGAAGGCTAAGGCCAGGAAACACAGCCTAAGTCTTACAGTTAAGGCCGGAAGACGCAAGACTACAGTAGGTCTTAAGAGATTCAAGACTAGGTCTTAAGAGACACAAGACTAGGCCTTACAGTTGAGGCCAGAAGATACAAGACTAAGCCTTACAGTTGAGACCGGAAGACACAAGACTAGGCCTTAAGATTATGGCCGGGAGACCAGACTAGGCCTTAAGGCAACTTACCTGAATACACGATCATCATTGTCAAAAAACTCCCATTCCAACAACATATTGTTGACAAAACATGAATGTTGTAAAATATAGAAACCTTGAACTTTACGATCTACTATCCAACTGACGTCCTCAAAGACAACGATATCCTTGGCTGGTAGTGTTGATATAGGTTTTCGGGTCCATTGTAAGCGATGAAGATTCGAACAGTTATCTTCCAAAATGCAGTTGCCCTTGACACGAAAGTCGATAACATCTGTTGCTGCTTGGTCGTGTGGTTGAAGTTTACTGTGTTGGGGGAGGATGAACTCGGGGTCACAGTTCGTGAAACCTATCGGGCTTTAGAGTAAGCGTCTGCTTGGGCATCTGTTCGGTTCTCTGCTTCACCAATCATGATGAGATGACCAGCTAGATAGAGGTTACAGAAAATTTTCTCCTTTTCTATTTCTGTGTTCATGCTACGACGGTATAGACAAATGGGCGTCAATTTTACATCGTTGAAAATTCCATCCAAGACAGTAATGATGGATGCAGGATGCGTGGCACTGCTAAGTTCGTTCATTTTGACAAACTGTTCACGGAGATCAAATGCCCTAGGATTTGGTGCTGCCTTTACCAAAGTGCTCTGAACCTGTGCTTCTGCTTCTGTTATGACAGACTGTTCGACACCATCTAAGATGTTGCCATGTTCAACATTCATGGTGGTCAGTCGTTCAACCACCATATTATAACATAATGACTTAGCAGTTTTTTTGGAAACTGAAACACCTGCACCTTGTAGTATGTTGTCAATAAAGTACATTCCCTTATGATAAACTTTCCCTGATTCAGCTTTACAACTCTCTACATCATATCGACAACGGACTCGACATTTAGCCACAGAGGCCGCCAACTCCATTTTGCTGACTGAATTGGTTGAAGCATATTTAGGATTGGTTAGAATATCTTGGATCTGTTTCAAAATAGATGGTGGGGGTAACTCTGCAATTGTTTCTTTCTCCATCTTAGCAACGGTCGAGTTAAAATTCTCCAGTTTCTCCTTGATAACTTTTGGGGTCATATCATCCTGGTTCAAAATTTCAGTGACAGGAAGGGTACGATAAAGTTCCACCGCCTTCTTGAAACATGACAGTTTGATTTCTTTTTTGTTGATGCCGATAGCTCTGGCTAGGAACACACCACCCAGATTAAGTCGGCCAGTGAAAAAGGATCCGTTCTTTCCTTGTACCATGCCATCGATCAAAAAATCTGGTCAAATTCCAACTTTACAACTCATCAGAGAATTCTCAAACAACTAAAATGAAATAAAATAGGATTTAATGGGAAAGAGAGGAAAATGGGCTTTATTGTTCACTCGACACTAGGTCATTTCGGGACTAACATATAGTTCATTTTATTTCATTAGGGGTCTTTAGCAGTGGAAGGAAACCCTGAGGACATGGAGAAAACGCACGAGGTTGAACAGACGACCCTACTCCTTGTCACGTACAAGCGGGTAATGACGCATTAACGCTTCGACCACCCAAACTCGCCCAACTGGTCTTATGTAGATGGGCAAATAAAAGAATTTTATACGTAATACATGCTTGAATAAAAATAAAAATAAAAATAAAGCAGAATCTGTGTTTTTAATGAGATTATTGTGAAAAATATTAAACATGCATTATGCAAGAGCTAAACCTGTCAATTTCAGGTCTTTCTTTAGGCCTGAAATCTTATCTAAATTATTAATTAGACATTAATTAACTTATCCAGACCATAATAAACTCCCGATGTCAAGGCTAGCCTTCGATGTCGACTGGATTACAATTCTATATGCTGCTATCGCTCATTGATAATTAAATCACAACAATAGACAATCGAGACTATTAGTTTCGAGGCTAGGCGAAACTTTCATCCGCTTAGTTTTCGGTTCATAGTGGACCAATTTGACTGACATTTTCAGCAAATTCCCTTTACATTATGTAGTTTTTAACTATTATAGTGAGAACTGCTAACTCGTTATCTTATCTCCATCTCCCATAATGTATCTTTAATAAATAAAACCTCACCATAATTTCATTGATTACTTTTTTTTCACTTCGTAAAAACATTGAAAGTCGTCGAATTTTTTCTGCTAGCGGCAATTTTGTGGCATCGATTGGTTCTGGGTTGGGTGTTTTGTGTACAGCGGCAGCAGGCAGACCTTTGTTATCAATGGGGCGTGTCTGGCAGCCTGGTAATGTTTCCCATTTCTTCTCTGTAAATAAACCATTAAAAAATGTAGTTTGTTAAAGCTGCATTTAGTAACTGTATTGAATAAACCATGACTAATATACCGGTGTATTAAATACAAGTTTTTTCACAGTTCATTTCTGACGACGTCTTGAAAAGTGTTCTCTTGTATTTATCAAGCCACAAACAAAATAAACTTCTAAATAACTTGTATTCTGAATATTGTTTAGTGCCCAGGTTCACTTTGCTCATTTCTGTTGATCAGCGGCTGGGGAGGGGGGGGGGGGGGAATAGGTTTTACATTTAGATTCAGAACGAACATGATTCTTCTACAGCCATCCTTTTTACAGTGGTTACAACTTAAACATACAGGTTTCAAGTTTAACTGACTACCATGACTAGAGAATAGAATAACGTGATTTATCAACGAATTAACAGAATTTTAAAACAAAATTAAAAGCTTTTGAGCAGTAGTACAGGTAAAAATTATGTGTGTCAAAAAGATAAGCACCACCGTTTAAAATGAGGTCTGTTTGATATTTAACCATCAACAATAAATTCAGATGGTTTTTATTTGGAACCATGTAATATCCATCACAAAATACTTCCAGCATAAGTCTTGCCACTCCAAGAAGAATAGTATCAGGTTCCTTTGGTACCATGGTACTAATCAAACAAGAGGTGTTGAGGACGTGATCCAAGTGAGAGAGGGGGGGGGGGGTTGGATGGCTGAATGGTTAGCTGTATCATAAAGTCTGTCATTGAGTCAACTGGCGTGGTTTCGAATCCCCGGTTGTACGTGACAAGGAGTAGGGTCGCCTGTCCAACCTCGTGGGTTTCCTCCAGGTCCTCCGGTTTCCTCCCACAGCTAAAGATCCCTACGCGCAAGCGAATTATGGAAATAAAATTGAACCATATGTTAGTCGAGTGGACGTTAAACCCCATTTCTCTCTCTCTCTCCAAGTGAGAGAGGGATACACATGACGATGGTTATCACTACTCTTGTCTGTAATCCTCATCCTTTTCCTGACCAGATCATCTAATGGACTCCTATATTAGCGTGTGCCAACCGAAAAAGGGACGTAACTCTTTTTTCTTAATTGGCTGTCACAAATATGGCACTATTTTTTCGCGAAAAGCTAGCCTTGCATTACGGCCTCGTGTTGGTTACCTGCAATCGATACCGGTTCCATTCAACCGAAAACAGTTAGTTAAGAGGTCAAGGTTGCTCCGCATGCAAAATTTATCACTCGTAGCAAGGTAAGAATATTTTTTTTCTCCGATTGAAAAGTTTGAAATTTTGTAAATTTTTTCGTGGAAGATGCGGAGCGAAAAAAAACCTGCTCAAATATGGATTAAATATCCCTTTATAAGATCCATCTTCATTTATTTCCATAAGTGGACGTGAACATTGGTAAAATTCAATTTTTCTCCATGTGACCGAAATTCTGTCGGCCATATTGTAATGGCGGGGGCGTGTCAAATGTACCGTTAGACACCCGTTAGTTACACACGTGCTAATAATGAGTGATCATAGGAAGAATTTTAACTTTCTAAGACTGTGCAGTTGATTTTTTTACGAAAACAAACATAGCTCAGAATTGTATGGTATAATAAAGCCCAATAAAAAAAAGAAATAAGGAGTACTTTTCTATATTTTTATTTTTAGGTTTTTTTTTTTAATTATTGAGAAATGGATAGGTCTACTAGTAGTTCTGAAGAGACATTACCCCCAAGTTACATTTTTCATTGTTTTTAACTTATTATGTATTGTTTCAATGTTATTTTCTTACCTTTTTTTCCATAACTTTTAACTAATATTATTGACTTTTTTATGTAAAGTTATTTTTCCATTATTACTTTATACTAATATTATTAATATAGCTAACATATATTTATTACTGTCAACTTATTTATAACTGTTTTTCACCTGTTTCTGTTCTGAAGTTTTTACAGTGTTACTCTTTTCATTACCGGTAGTACTGTTAACTTGACTTTATGATTGACAACTTAAATACCTGTAGTTAACTTCTTTATACCTTGTTTTTCATCTTGTTTGTCTCAATATTTTTATTATTTAACATACAGTATATTAGATTATTAATATTAACTCATGTATTATTAACTCATGTATCATGTATTCCAGCCTGTTTTCCTTCATTTTATCAGTATTGTTTAATCATATTTACAAAACTTTTTCAGTATATGCAGAATATTTTGTAGATATTTAGCTGAATTGTTGTGTTTTTTTATATTTTTATACTGAAAACTTCAATTCTGGAGTTTTGTTAGTTATGATTCAGTGCATTTATTTTGATAATTTTATTTTTTGATATTTCATACTCATAGCTGTCCACGAGAACATGGATATTTCATAGCTGTCCACGAGAACATGGATATTTCATAGCTGTCCATGAGAACATGTTTCCAGTTTCCATTTAATCATCAAAAAACAATTTCCACTATTTTTAATGATTTTTTTTTATAGTTATTATTTTTATGTTTTTTCGGAACAAAATATGTCCGATTTGCTTTAAATTTTGTCAAAATAAAAGGTAAAAACAATATTTTTGTGGTTGATTTTAGTAAATGTGTGTCTCTAGAACATCTGTGTACAATTTGAGTCTGTTCCAAAGTCATTCAGTTAGTCAAAATATTATTTTTTCAATTTTGCCTGTTTTTGACGGATTTGGGGAAAACGCTGCTTACGTATGGGTATATAAAATTAGCTTCAAAAAACAAAGTTATGAACCGATTGTCATAATTGAAAAAGATTAATGATTCTCAGGTGTTTTTCTAACTGTGTGCAAAATTTCAGGTCTGTAGCTCAAAAATTGAATTTTGGTTGGCACATGCTACCTATATTTTTCGAAATCCTCAATTAAAAAATATCTATTACTTAAATGACCAAATATTCCTGTCTTGTTTTACTTTAAGGTGGTCCTTAACCTTTTGTCAGTTGTATTTATTTTTATAACTTACTTGCACCACCGGCACTGTTTGCGGGAGTTCCAACACCTCCTATAGAATTCAACTCATTGTTAAAAATATAATTTGCGGGTCACGGAAAGATAACTCTGTTTGGAAACATGGTTTGGTGTAGAGGAGTAACCGAAGTTGGCCGAGTGAAATCTGCAGCCGGTTGCCGAGTGAAAAATAGAAAGTAACTCATTGAAGATCCAGTATTGTGCGTAAGGTTTAGCTTCTACCTACTTTTACGAAATTTCTTGATTTCTTGATCATTTTAATTAAAAGCAAAGCGATTATGGCTGAACTTTGTCTCTTCGGCCATTCTTTCATTGATCGTGTACGATCGAGCGTAGGTTATAGACTACCACTTCAGTTGGGTGGGGGAGGACGGATCCATCATGTTTTCCGCAGTGGTGGGACGTCACGAAATTTAAGACAGGATGTAGGAAAGATTCCTGTTAGTGTTGCTGTGGTTTTCGTTCAGACTGGGGGTAATGACATAGGTCCACATCAACAGACTGTTCACATTGCTGACGACATAATTAACTTTAGTTAATTTGATTCGTCAGCAATGTCCATGGGCTGTTATTGATATTGTTGTGGGCAGTTTGTTTGTTCGCCGCAAACCTCGTCATCTGGATGAAAGCCAGTACAACACGGTTAGGGTTACTGTGAACAACCTGCTCCGCCACAGGTTGTCATTTTTATATCGAGTGCTTTTTGGGAATTCCAGTCGGAAGATGAGGTATAGGGCATTGCACTTCGATCATTGGGGAGTTCACCTTAATGCTGCAGGCAATCGTCTTTTTGCGAATTCGGTTCTTGCAGCATTTAAGATGGCTCTTTCCCTATTCAACGAGTGAACTGTTCACTTATTAATTCTATCGTTGTCCCTTTTCTTGGTGGGAGCATTATTGTTGAATAATGCACCACAATAACGGCTACCGGTAGCCTTTAATTTTGAAAGCTGAACCTTAAAAACGTGAATGTGGTGTTTGAGTTTTGACATAATGTAAGTTTACATTTTTTTAAGGGCCATGGCTATACTTGTGATGAGGTGTAAGAATTATTGATGGACTATTCTTACAACATGGTGGTGTAGCGCATATGCACAAGTTACAAATTATTTGACTTGTACTATATTATAATATTGCAATTTGCAGGAAGGGATGTCGTAAGAATAGGCAATACTATATCGAGATCGTCGTAGGAATAGAAGACAGGCTATTTTTACGACGACTACATTGTCCAACTTCCATGTTTAGCCTGACATCAAAAGGGGTAAACTCGGTACCGTAATTATAATATATATAGGCCCAATGTAGGCCTATTTGAAATTCTGTTTTAATATCTTAAATTGTTATTTTATATTTTAAAGAAAGCTCACATAGCATAGCCTAGCATTTTTCTTTCGGAAAAATAAATCATTTTAAAATTTAGAGTAAAATGGGTCTTGTCAAAGAATAAGGGGCGTACTGGCACTTTGATGGCCCATTTTAAAATTTTAGAGTAAAATGGGTCTTATAAAAGAATAAGGGGTGTACTGGCACTCTTTTGATGGCCCATTTTAAAGTTTATGGGAATTACTTTTCAAATCTAAGAATCAGAACAATGAGTGTAGGCCTATTTGGTGGATTTTATTAAAAGTTCAAAAGTTGTAAAAATCGACAATAATTTACAGCCTAGACAACTTAGTAAAACGTCGTAAGAATAGGAGAAAGGCTATTTTTACCATGATCTCGTCGTAAAAATAAATCATGGCCTATTCTTACGACATCCCCTCTTGCAAACTGCAAAATAATACAAGTCCAACATTGTGTAACTTGTGCATGCGCTGCCGGAACTTCCACTATGTGATAAGAATGGTCCATCAATAATTCTTACGCCTCGTCGTAAGAATAGCCACAGCGGTTTTTTTTATTGAATATATTACTTGACCTTGTAAACAAATAAAGATATCATCTGATCTTTTCTGTATTAAATTTATATGCATTATTTAAATTTGTAAAATAAAGAAGCCAATTGAATTCCAATAATTTCCATTAATTACTAGAACATCTAGTTCTACTACTAGGGCAGTAATAAACAGTACCGGTAACTGTAAAAGCACCATAGAGTCCATAGCCATAATGTTTCTAGATCTCAGTTTCAGTCTTTTGATACTTTGTGTACTTGTAAAAAAGCCCAGCAGGTAGCATAATAATAGTAATTATTTTGGTGTATAATTGAGTGTTTTTGTTCGCCAACATCATGTACTAGTGTTAATTTGTAATGTATGTACTGTAATTAAATTTATTATTTCAGATAATATGACTGATCTACAAAACACATTATTAGAAATATCAGGTCAAAAGAATATGCATGGTAATAAAATAAAAAAAATGATAAGATATATTACATGTTATAGTTATACTAATATTAATCTGAAAGCCAGTGTTAGAAATTTTAGACAAGGTCATGTGTCATTCCTTTGTCTCTATCGACTCCACTATTATATTTTTGACTCTTCAGAACTGTGTGTCAAATGTTATGAATATAGCTTATGAATATAGCTTAAGTGGTGGTTATTTCAGTTTGTTCAATAGAATATAATCAGCCACATAAGGTGTGGGACGTAACATCCGTTATTTTTTAAAGAAGCAAATTTGTAGGTTTCTTTTGGTAAGGTACCACTTGAACAACACTTTGTAGGAGGGTTTACTTTTAGGTACCTATGCACAGATTAAAGGTAATTATGCTTTCCAAATATGTTCACTTATCATAGGGGATCAATAAAAATTTGAAGATCAAATTATCTTGAATTCTTGCAAAATTTTCAATTTTTTTAGGCTTGGTTTTGAGGTCATTTAATTTCTTCTTGTGTTGGTAGATTTTAGTGTAAAGAGTCTATGATATGATATAATTTAGGAGGTAATATATTTCAGACAACCAAAAAGGATAATAAAGTAGAAGAAATAACAGGTGAAACATTTATGATTATAATAGCTACAGGTGAACGTCCCAGACCTAGTTCTAAAGAATATACAATAACCTGGTAAAATATAGTGTATTATTCTAAAACAAGGAATTGATGTGAGCCGCAAATTAAATTAATAAATGCAACACAGTAATTTTCCTGAAATGTTTCTGTGAAATGGCAGTATTCTCAAGCATGTATCCCCTAAAACAAATATCATCAACTTGACTGATAAAATGATTGTCTACTATCACAGAGTATGAATAACCAGAGCTACATTTTAAATCTAGGAATCGAAACAACAAGTATTTCGTCGATTAGTTTTAAAGTTGATAAAATCTTTTAAAAATCGACAATAGTTTACATCCTAGATCAATTCGTAAACCGTCACAATTATTGTCATCTTTCATCTCAGTCAGGTTTTTACCACGCCATGCTCTGTTTATGCAGGTTTTAAAAATATGAATCATGTTTTATAAATTCCCGAAACACACACACACACAACTAACATATGATTGTATGTGACAATTCTTGGTAGTTTGAAATTAAATAGATTTGGTTATTCTTTCTCTGTGATGTTTACTGACATTACAGACAAACCCCAAGATGCAATACGCGACCTACTTCTTATGCAAATGTAGGAGTTGCCACTCTGGTTATTTTAACTCTGTGCTATATTAACATAGTAATGCTGTAAATAATGGTCATGTTAACATGTGTCCAAAAACCTACTTGACTGACAGTGGTAGGAATGTAGAAATGATTTAATTATCGTTCTGTTTCAGTGATGATTTATTTTCTCTACCATACTGTCCCAGTGAAACACTATGTATTGGTGCTTCGTATGTATCATTAGAATGTGCTGGATTTTTAGCCGGATTAGGTTTAGATGTAACAGTTATGGTACAATCTGTATTATTACGTGGTTTTGATCAACAGATAGCAGAATATATGTCAGAACATAAAAGATTTTTCCACAGAGGTTATGTTCCTATGAAGGTAAATTTTTTCTATTAATTCCAGGCATGGAAATAACAGTTTCAGATGTACCTGACAAAATGTCAGGCACTGATGAAATAGTGTCTGACATTTTCAATTTAACGCTGGACATATAATGATAATATCAACAAAAAAGACAAATCAGTGCCGGACAAAATGATAGGCACCAGAGGTTTTGTGCCTGACATTGTCTGTGACAGGTGCCTTATTTCCAGGCGTGATTAATTCACTGCTTAAAGATGCATTATGTAAATGCTTAATCTGCCAATTGTAGGTCTTTTAATCAATCGGTGTTGACGTTTCTAGTGTTATTTGACTCATAGTTCTGTGCATTAAAAGGCCAATAAATTACCTTAACAGACTGTTTCATTCAGTAATCCCTCACTTCATCCAGAACACGTCAATGATAACAACTCTTCCAGATCCTAGTGTAGTAAAGACAAAACGAAATAGGATGTGTTTTAATCTGATTGTAAAGTGTCAACAACACATTAAGCTCCATTCCATTCCTTTTTATAGACAGATATTTATATTGTTGTTAATTTTAATTTATTTTAGTGTGATTATCAGACTTTAGCAACAACAGTATTATTCCAATTGAATATGGTTGTATTGGTTATTCAGAAGAAGCTGCACTTGAAAAATTTGGAGCAGATAATATAGAGGTAAATTTATCTCTGTTAAAGTTTCATGATATATATTGTCTTCTATGGTGATATATTCAGAGACAATGGAAAGAGTATAAATTAGTTGAAACATCCTGTTTTATGTATTTTGGTCTTAATTTAGATGTTCTTAGCTGCAAATTTGATTTTAGCCATTCATTTTAAGTTCTATTTTCTTTTTTATTAATTTTGGATTGGATCATTGGATAGGAATTGATGTTGGACAACTCAAGTTATAAGGTTTTGTCATTTGAAAGTTTGTTATTGAACTGAATACAGTAGATTATAACCGCAGAAGCTTTCACTGTGGCTGTTTGCTCATTCACATTTAAATCATGTGCTATATATCACATCCCTCTATCAGAAAACAATAATAATAATAAAACATGCTTCATCTATAAAGTTTACACAAAATATCTCAGATTTATGGGTAAATATTAAAATACAGAAATTTGATATTAATTTCAGATATACCATTCTAATTATTACCCTTTACAATGGACAGTACCACATAGAGAATTGTTTGTGGACTCTCTTCAGGTCACAATTCTTATCCGATTTTGATGGAACTTGAAATATAGGTTTATCCCCAAAAGATCTCGGCTGCTTTCAATATTGGCATGTATCGGATCAAAACTTCATTGATTATGGCCCCTGATTGTACGAGAAATCACGTTTTTAGCTTGTGGACCCTATAGAGGTCACCATTTTGAAAGGATTTTGATGAAACTTAACATGTATGGTTATAACCCAAAGATCTTGGTACCTTTCGATAATTGCGACCATCAGAACGTAACTTCCTGAATTATGGCCCCTGATTGTCCGAAAAATGCAGGTTTATAACCCAAAGATCTTCATTCCTTTCGATATTTGCGCATATCAAATTGTAACTTAATGAATTATAGCCTTTGATTGTAGGAAAAATTACTTTCTATTTTGCTTGTTCTCTATCCATCTCTCGAAAATGTGGGCGTATCCTGCCTTGCAGCCGCCGGCCTATTTTTGTTAACTTTACTTGTACTCAGGGATTTTATTACTATTTTGGAGGAACAGTCTATCTGAAAACAGGATAAAAGAAACCAGACCATTCCATGTTCTGATGTTCTAAAGTGTATTTACAATATGTCACAATTGTTGATTATTTATTTCAGATATTTACTTATAACAAAGAGAAGTGGAGGTGATACGGCTGTAGCAGGTTGCTGAGATTAATTAATTCCCTGTTGTTACTTAAGAAAAACAATTACCTCTCTTAAATAACATTTACCATCATACTTGAAGTGAGGAAATCATATCCAATTCTAGATATTAATTTAACTTATTACAAATTGAATTGAACTTATTAAAAATTGTCTCAATTTTCCGGTGAAATTCATTAAAGGTTTTGATATATGATAAATTTACTTTTAAGAGAATTCCTATTTAAGATGTGTGTATTTTGTTTTTCTTGACGACAACAGGGGTCAAATTGACCAGGTCATGTTGAGGACAGGTGCACAGATGTGTACACAGGCTGTATGATAGATTTTTTCTGAAACCTACCTGTAGGGTAAACAAAACTTGATGATACCTATCTCCAAAACATGGCGTTTATGAAAAGGACTTTATTGTATGAGAAATAAAGTCATATGCTCTTTTAACTGGGCTGCAATCAACTTTTTGGGGTATCCAGCAGACTCCCATCGTAGTCATTTTGGGTGATCCTCTACCCACAGGCTATAGTGACTCATTTTGTAGTTATTAACCATAGCAACTGTATAATTATGAGCAAGTGGTTCACATTTTCAAATTTAACAACAGATGAGAATCATGCTCAACCATGACAGATAATTCAAGCTGCATTTCATTCAGACCTAACCTTCCAATCTCCCAGGAGTCACTCTTTCAATTTGCCAGAGCTACTAGTCACATGGAAATGATTGAGACAATACAAGTATGCATGTTTCTGCTCCAATAATGGAATGGCTTTTAATCTCTGTTCATTAATACAACAGTGCAGATAAACATACAAAAGAAACCTATAAAAAGTGTCTGGCGTGGTGGGAGATAATTGTCTAACAAAATCCCCAGGGTCTTCCATAGTATTAGTAGTGCACTGCCAAGAGAGAAATGAAATGGCTATGAGGGAAATTTTACGTGGACAAATAACTACGCTATATCAAATTCCAACTGTCAAGGGATCTTTTATGTGCATGCCAATTTGTACACGGGACCGCGTTTTTTCGTCCCATCCAGCGTGGTGGGAGATAATTGTGTAACAAAGTCCCCAGGGTCTTCCATAGTAGCGCACTGCCAAGAGAAACACAAACTAGATCATTTCATGATTAACATGGTTAAATATTTAGGGATCTTCTGATTGCGACATTGAGTTTAATTTAACCAATCATATTATTAATTACACAAGTTCAGGGCTATGAACACGCGCTGTTAGGCATGATATACTGAGTCCTATATAAGATATCTACCGGGTATTAGAAATTGTCAAGCAGACTTCAATTAGATTCCAATGCGAGCTGATACACCTTCTTATATACTATAATAAATAGTTAAGCAGTAGTAAGAAGTTTTATTTTAATCCCTTCAAGTGCCTGTGTAATGAATAATGCATATACCCTAATTTTATGTAGGAATGGACATCATTTCAATCAAAGTAGGTAAGTATTGTTTATAGGTAGTGGAACTGTGACATTGACATAATATTGTACATCGTTGACCTCAGGGTTAGGCTTGTTGTCGTACCATAGTTAGGTTAACATCTTCCACCACACTGCAAAGTCAGTAACATCATCAAGCTAACCTTTGCCAAAAGGTTAATGTTAATAATATCCACCAATTTGTTTATACATTAAACACAAGACCAGCATTCAATCTCTGTGATCTGTAAATAATTAATAAAAAACATATGAACTTACTTCAAATTTACACATTATAACTTATTACATAAACTTTATGTAGATAACGGCAGTGAATTTTGAGATGAATTACATAAAAATTTACAAAAATAAGAACTGTTAATGAAAATAATAAACTGATTTACCTCACGATGGATAATATTGGAAATATTTTCTATACTTTTCTTCTGAAAAATGAAAGGGAATAGCTTTATTATAAAACAAGGAACATGTACTACAAATACATATAATTATTAATGTCCCCCCCCCCCCCCACAACACAGACACTTGGAATTTTGGAATTCATTTAATATAGTTAACTAAAAAAATGTTGAAATCACAATTAATTATGATACCATAAAATACAATTACAGGCTGGTAAAATCAACACAAAGTTCATACATGAGAATATAATAAACAGAACTGTGAGGTTCATATAAACAGCCACAATCCCAAAATAAATTGATGACACATTAATTGCTCATTCATCTTTTTTAAAAAAAAAAAAACGCATCAAGCAAGGTATCTGATATAATGAAACAATACACCGAGCTCCATTACTCTCACTTAATTATATCCAAAGTTATGGTATAATAACAAATCAACCTGCTAATCTATATTGAACTAAATCGAGGTTGAGTTCGAAAATAAAAACAAAGTTTAAAAGAATCAACTTAATTAACAAAGATAGGTTGCCAGGCAACGAAACATACGCCCACAGCAGCTAAATCGACGGACGGACCGACGACGATATACGACCACATTTCAATAAAAACAATAATTAAACAATCAAAAACTATGGTAAACAGATCAATCAAATTCAAACGAAACAAATAAAACAAAGAAAAGGAAAAAAGCAGTTCATTACCATTCTACATTAAAAAAATAAAGGAAATCAACTTGTGAAAAAACTTTCATAAAATAAGAGCAAAGTAACACTAATGTTAATACTTTTTTAACGACCCTACTTGGGCTCCCGGCACCCCTACACCCAAGCCTTTCCACACCACAACAAAGGTCCATTTCATTGATTTTTTTTCAATTTAATGGTCAAAGCCATCAAAAAACCCCAACACATTTAAAAAACTGAGAAAATAAATTATAAATTCTACCTTTATAATCAAGAAATATAATTTTTAAATATGTAATATGTAATTCAGATCTAATTTTTCATCAAAATCAATGTAAATGGACCTTTGTTGACCAGATAAGCAAGTTACATTGATACTAACTTCAGACTTTACAATTTTGTATAAAATTCTAACATTATTAAATGATCTGCATGTGTGTAAAATCCTAAAATCTTAACATGAAATGATCAAGCGACTGAAACGCCAGCATGAGGTCCCTATCACCTTACATTACCTATTTAAGAATAACAGAAACCATAAATTAATGGCGTTTTTAGGACCTGAGCTTCGAACGAGGGATAACGCCTTTAAAATACAATAATAAGCCATTCCAAAATAAATAACCCTATCACCCTAAATAATCATGCGACTGATCCGCCAGCATGAGGTTCCTAACAATATCTATTTAAGAATAACAGAAACCATAAATTAAAGGCGTTTTTAGGACTTGAGCTTCGACCGAGGGATAACGCCTTTAAAATACAATAATAAGCCATTCTAAAATAAATAACCCTATCGACATGTGTGTAAAATCCTAACACCTTAACATGAAATCACCATGCGACTGAAACGCCAGCATGAGGTCCCTAACAATATCTATTTAAGAATAACAGAAACCATAAATCATAGGCGTTTTTAGGACTTGAGCTTCGACCGAGGGATAACACCTATAAAATACAATATTATGCCATTCCAAAATAAATAACCCTATCACCCTATCTGCATGTGTGTAAAATCCTAACACCTTAACATGAAATGATCATGCGACTGAAACACCAGCATGAGGTCCCTAACAATATCTATTTAAGAATAACAGAAACCATAAATTAAAGGCGTTTTAGGACTTGAGCTTCGACCGAGTGAAAACACCTTTAAAATACAATAATAAGCCTTTCCAAAATAAATAACCCTATCACCCTAAATAATCATGCGACTGATCCGCCAGCATGAGGTTCCTAACAATATCTATTTAAGAATAACAGAAACCATAATTTAAAGGCGTTTTTAGGACTTGAGCTTCGACCGAGGGATAACGCCTTTAAAATACAATAATAAGCCATTCCAAAATAAATAACCCTATCACCCTAAATAATCATGCGACTGATCCGCCAGTATGAGGTTCCTAACAATATCTATTTAAGAATAACAGAAACCATAAATTAAAGGCATTTTAGGACTTGAGCTTCGACCGAGTGAAAACACCTTTAAAATACAATAATAAGCCATTCCAAAATAAATAACCCTATCACCCTATCTGCATGTGTGTAAAATCCTAACACCTTAACATGAAATCATCATGCGACAAACGCCAGCAAGAGATCCCTAACATTATCTATTTAAGAATAACAGAAACCATAAATTAAAGGCGTTGTAGGACTTGAGCTTCGACCGAGTGAAAACACCTTTAAAATACAATAATAAGCCATTCCAAAATAAATAACCCTATCACCCTATCTGCATGTGTGTAAAATCCTAACACCTTAACATGAAATCATCATGCGACAAACGCCAGCAAGAGATCCCTAACATTATCTATTTAAGAATAACAGAAACCATAAATTAAAGGCGTTTTTAGGACTTGAGCTTCGACCGAGGGATAACACCTTTAAAATACAATAATAAGCCATTCCAAAATAAATAACCCTATCGACATGTGTGTAAAATCCTAACACCTTAACATGAAATGTTAACAGAAACCATAAATTAAAGGCGTTTTTAGGAAAGGAGCTTCGACCGAGTGAAAACACCTTAAAAATACAATAATATGCTATTCCAAAATAAATAACCCTATCACCCTAAATAATCATGCGACTGATCCGCCAGCATGAGGTTCCTAACAATATCTATTTAAGAATAACAGAAACCATAAATTAAAGGCGTTTTTAGGACCTGAGCTTCGACCGAGTGAAAACACCTTTAAAATACAATAATATGCTATTCCAAAATAAATAACCCTATCACCCTAAATAATCATGCGACTGATCCGCCAGCATGAGGTTCCTAACAATATCTATTTAAGAATAACAGAAACCATAAATTAAAGGCGTTTTTAGGACTTGAGCTTCGACCGAGGGATTACGCCTTTAAAATACAATAATAAGCCATTCTAAAATAAATAACCCTATCGACATGTGTGTAAAATAAAGTCCTAACACCTTAACATGAAATCACCATAAGGTTAAATCTAAGGACTGTTTGTTTGTATCTGACTTTATCTTATTTTGTACCCATAATACTGCAGTTTCACTCAAAATAAATTCTTGTATTTGATTCATTGCAAAAGAATCATCTTTTCCCAAATGGGAACATTTAAAACCTTTAGATAAATATTTATTAGTAGATTTCAATTTATATTTCAAAATAAGACTGGATGATTTCTTTGAAAATACAATGGAAGGACCTCCTTCTACATAATCATCTATACTTGATTTGTTTAATTCATCGCTTTTTCTATTTTCTGTTGATTTAACTTTGTTTGAATTACATGTAGTAGTAAGTCTTTTTACCTTTTGCTTTAGGCATCACTGGTTTAGTAGGTAAAAAGTCATCATCAGAATCAATATTATGTTCTATTGCATTAGTATTATTACTGTTTACATTATGTTTGCTTGAATGTTCATAAGATTTTTGCAGTATATTGACCAGACATTAACCATGAAATGATTGCAAATGAATACTTTTTGAATGTAAAGAAAAGTCTAGCATAAAATGTTAAAATGCTTGTAATTCATTTGCAATATCCTTTTGATATGTAGTTGACAAGAGAGCGTTAAAAATATCTTGTCGAAGTAAAAGTATGGTTATTCCCACTATAATGGATGGTCCACATACTGAACCACAACTTTGTTTTGGATATAAATAACACATTTCTTGACATGCATTATGAGGATAGCCATTTAAGTTTGGACTATGTGCTATTTGTATTTCTGCCACGCTTAAATTGTTCATTAAACATGAATTATAGCCACTAATAAAGTTGTTTAAATTGAACATTAAACTATCTGGTAAAGCTAAACCTAATGTATCAATATAAATGACTTTATTAATTACATCATACACACAGAAAGAAAAATGATTCCCGTTGATGACTTGCTCTCCTGTCTCAATATTTATATCTTTCCCAGCCAAATATGTGATTATTTCACCAGTACTTGAACGTGTTAACGATTTCACACAGAGAACAAAAACAAATTTAGTGATATTAGGATGCTTAGCATACAGCCTTGAACCTAAATTTTTAAGATCATGGATGGAATTTAAATAACCAACTTAATCTGAGTCAGATATACAATCTTTTAACAGTTCAATAATTTTATCAATCACTGAATCACTTAGCCATCTATCACACAGCAGAGTTTTTAATTCAGACACTGACAACTGATAATTACCAGGAATATTAGGTTTGAAAGAATCTGTATTGTTCAGTAGAATATTTTTTAATTCAACAACCTGTTCAAAGTTAATATTTTCTATTGGTGTAAATAAAGGTTGCCAATTCAAAACATATTTGTTTTCATTTTCCAACGCTTGTCTTACTCCTTTTGCAATGTAAAAATCACGAAAACATTTAATTTCAGCAAAAGTAAAATTGCCATATGGCAAATCTACATAATAGTCTTTGTCATTTTTTATAGCCCCGATAATCTGATCCAAATCTTTTATTGGAGGCATGTATTTTGAGTCTTCACATTTAGAGAGTTTAACATTTGTAGTGTTTCGTTTAATAACATAGTTTCTACATATTACAAAAGGCAGAATTTTATTAGGCAATGAGAGATTAATTCTACTTCTAGTACTATTAGTATTTTGTAAAGCCATATTTGAGTACAATGTAACTTGCTCACCTGTTTTAATTTCCTAAGTTTATACTGAATACCGTGGCGTACTGGAAAGGTCTTTAAAACCAATTACGATGATCAATCTAACACAGCAGTCAGTACAGTAGTAGTACTAGTGTGGTATTGTATGGTACCACTTCCACCAAACCAAGTCAAAAATCAAAACCACTATTGATGAACCATATGAAATAGAAACATGCAACTAATTTTAATGAACATTAGATAGTAATAAGCTTAATTTATTCTATTGGTAAAGTATTAGAAATTAGATTTATTTAATACTGTTGTTGTTTACTTTTTAGAGCCTAATATGTAGGCCTATATAATACAGTGGCAGTGCCCTAATACAACTTATAATAATAATAATTGATCTGAACTGAATCAGACTGATCCATGTGGTGTGTAATTTGTGTATCTCATTCTCAGACTCCACTCCAGCCACACTCACATACTGTGAATGTGACCCCCTTGGCTGTAATTGTGACACTACAGTACAACTGTCTAAGGGGCATATAAAATAAAATGCTTGAAATAAATTTGGACTAGACTAGGTAGATATCTAAGCCTAATTTTAATCATAACGTAGGCTAGTCTTCTCAAAAAATTATTTACATTCATTTTTTATGAAGTTAGTTTTTTTAGTCAAGTACTAGCTAAAAAGTATCAAACTTTATACATTACCCAGGTCAGAAAATCTCCTCAGAAAATAAAAGACAAATTGTAGCTCAATAAAGATATTATAAGTAAGAAGCTGGCGCCGTTGAAAACAGTAAGAGTTAGCCTAAAGGTCAGAATTTTGCGCCAAAACCCTATAAATAGATAACGTGAAGCAAACCAGTTAAAAATATCACGGAAAGATAACTCTGATTGAAAAAGTGCATAATTAAGAAAGTACTGGATAATCGTTAGTATCAAAATAGAAACCGATTAATTGAAGATCCAGTATTGTGCCAGATGGGGACACAGATCACCAAATATTCCTACGCCGTCACCCACGAAACAAGGGTCAAAGCTATTTTTAGTCTTCCTCTCCCTTTTCCTTTTTCCCCCCTTTTGCATGGCGATTTTTGTTGACTTTTTGGTGTAGAATCGAGGAAAAGGGTTTGAAAATACATTTTCTGCCAGGTTTTGGTGAATATTCATAATTTTGATGCGGAAGGATACAAGAGTTGAGAGGTTGGTTAGGTTGAAATGGAGGGCCTGAAATTGCATGTTTACTTGTCTCTACTTCCAGCTTGTGTATCTCAAGTTTTTCATGAAGAACCTCATACGTGCTTTTGGGCAAGTGGTTGCCACATGTTGCTCCATCTGTGGTAGAAAGCGTTCTACCCAACGAAAATTTGGGAAAAAGTTAGAGCCGGTCTAAGATATGAGAATTAACATTGGAGTCAATGGGGAAATCTTTAGTGATCTGTGTCCAGATTATGCACTCTTCCGACGAGAGTTGTCTTCCCGAGACTGGTACGGGCACACTCGGCAAACCTCAGCAGATTCCAGTGCCCTACATCTAGCCTCGGCTAAATGACGATGTAAGTTATTGGAACTGCTTTCAAGTTCACAGATTACCAACGGCGTTGCCCATGACGATGCCTTTGAAGAATGTTTTACCATACAAATATTTTAAAGTCTGAAGCTGTTTTTCTTTCAAGTTTATCCGGTTTTCTTCAAACAAGGACAACTTTACACTAAAAATTCTGCGCACGCTTCGAACGACGCAATTTTGATAACTTTTTTTTAAAAGCGGCAAGTTTAACTAATAAGTAAACCATTGCCGCATCGCAATTGTATAGGCGTAGGTACATATCACTTGCCGTCATACAGCCGAGGTTAGATGTATACATAGAGGTGTATAATATATTGACTAGAGTGTATTGTGGTCACGTGATCCCCATTGACGTAACGTTAACGTCGTGGGCCGTCGCTGGAGACTGCCCGCCATGTTTCAACCGGGAAAGAATCACGAAAGTGCCCGGATGAACGCTATGTAAACAAAGGGAAATAGACTGACGGAGGGCGGACAAGCCCATTAAAAAAGCAGTTCTAATTCAACAATATCAACCAAAAAAATTATGATTGAAAGGTCTTACCTTACTGTCCTAAAACACAAAATCATTTTGGTCAACTGGCATATTTTTGGGGCTTTATTATTAAGAATAACTCTTATCATAATCATCATCATGATGAATACCGTGGCATGGTCACCATCCATGGTGTAAATTGTAGTATAAGTATAATGCAGAACTGACGAAATCGTGTTTATTTTATTAATTGAGCACAGTGAACGTCCTCGAATGTCCAGATCTATAAAGTGTTCAGCAAATTTTTGAACATTGCTCCTCGGTAGTTCACATAAAACTTTATTTTGGATAGATCTAAATAATTTGTTCAGTTGGACGATTTGAAATGAAAGGACTGCTTGATTGACAGATAACTAAACCATCTATATCATGTAAAGAGATAAAATCGATTTTAAAAATAATCCGACTTCTATCATTTACCAGTAGAATAATATCTGATGCTGATTGGAAATATTTTTTTTAAAAAAAAGGAAAATATAAACACGCCTAGCAAGGCCTTAGTAGGCCTATATGATTTTCAATTTCCATGATCTGGTGTCTGATTTTTCTTTTTTGAAAAATACGGCGGTATATTAAATTTTACAAAAAAATAAGACTAACCTGATTATACTTAATAAGATTTTCGTAGTAGCAGCGATTAAAAAAAGAATATCATTATCATCAGGCCTATTTTTTTTTTTTACAAAATTTGACTGGGAAGGAAGTTATCAAGATTACTTATTATTATTAACCATTTTTTTTTAACTAGTTCGGGGGTTTTATGCGGGTTTTCAGAAGAAGAAAAAAAAAGAAACATAAATGTTGCAAGAAACTTTCACTTTATTCTGTACATCTGTGTATACAATGAATGTCGGCATAATTAATAAAATCCGAGGGAGTAAAACTAACCGATAGTAAAGCAACTACTGGCCAGTGAGTGCATGTCTGTGACTAAACACTACACTCCAATAAGTAGACTTACTCCCCGCGATATTTTTCGTACAATGCAAAATGTGTGTATATAATATGCGCAATTTCCATAATAATTAAATATACATTAATTTGGAAGTTCGCTAAACGCACGGACCTTGTAATTATTACATAATAAAAGTATCAGTACTAATAATATAGACCCGCCCGGTTTCCGGACTCAAACTTCCAGTGTTCGAGGTCTTCTCGCCGTGTTTATTAAATTATTTTACGCAATTATCATGATTATACTATATCTATTAGATCACTATTTGACTTATAATATATCTTACGTACTTATGAAATGATAATCCACTCCCCTTTCGCCTGACATTGAATTAACCAAAACAACAACAACTCTCCGGCATGTTGATATATGCCAACGTAGACTAAATCTTCCCGGTTGTAAAATGGCTGCCAATCCCCATAGTCGGCACGCGATCACGTGACCACCATACACTCTAATAATATACACCTCCATGGATGTATATAACGGAATCCCCCGAGGTACTGACAATGACGTCTATACGTCATTGGGTACGGACCATAGAGCATAGATTGCATATAATAGATCGTATATAATATGGATTGCCAGTACTCGTACTGATAACACCTAATGTACCAGAGCTCCAGAGCTATCGTCTAAATTTATCTAAAGATAAAGTAGCCTAGCAAAACTCGAGAAAGACTCTCCAATCGACTTTAAGACTCTACAAAGATTCTTCAGTCCCAAGGTTGTCTTTCTATCTTTTTTTATTTATTTCGTTCTTTATTTCTTATATTTGTATAAGTATAAATTTTTTGTTTTTTTTCCTTCTCTTTTTTACTTTTGACAGTTATTTTCGGTTACCCTGTTTCATTTTTATTTTTTATTTTTCACATTTAGTTGGGTCTATTTCTTTCGGTATTCTTTGCTTTCTAGGATTTTTTCTTTTATTTTGGACAGTTCTTTTTCGGTTATTCTGTTTAAATTTTTATTTTTTTTATTTTTTACATTTAGTTGGACCTATCTCTTTTGGTACTTCTTTTCTTTCTAGGATCTTTTGGTACTTCTTTTCTTTCTAGGATCTTTTTCTTTTATTTTCATACTTTTCGCTTATTCTAGATTAGTTTTTACTTTCCTTGTTTCTTTTCCTTTAACTTTGGCTTCTAGTTTACTTTTCCTGTATCATTAGCCTCATATTTTTGTTTATTTTTATATTTTTGGTTGTTATTTCCCATATTTTTCTCTCATTTACTTTCTTAGAAACATTATCGTTACAAGGGCTTCAGTTCTATTTTCTTTGTTAGGCAATCAGTGTCCAAGCGATCGGAGATTAGCTCAAGCGATCGAACTACACTCAGATCTAAGATATTAAATCAAGGGCTTAGCCGCCTTTGTTGAACTAACGATCTGACAGCTGATCTGCTAATTGGCTTATACAAACACTAGGAACCTATAGTTAATTAGTGTAATCAAAACTGATTAACTAGCGGACCGGTGTGGAAAGGGTCAATAGCAGATCATCAGGTAATCAACCAATCAATTACTGTTTAATCCTAACCACTCTACTTTAGATTAACAGCCAGAACCATCTCTTGTTTATCCCTCTTTAAATTTAGACTTTCGAAGCAGGAAATGGTCAATGGAGTCCGTGACTAAGCTCAACATGTCGATGGTTGAAGGTTTCAACAGCAGTCCGGCACCATCGACCTTTCCGGCGGCTAAAAAGAGGGAGGTACAAGCCTTCGTCGTCCAGGTGAGGCCCGCTGAAGGCAAGTCCTTCAAAGGGACCAAGCTGACGGCGATAGGGAAGGAAATAAAGAAGACCTGGGGTATTATCGATACCCCAGACATCAGAGTAACTGTCCCTGGACACGTCCGACTGGCTTTTAAAACACAGGAGGACATGGACAGGGCGGTGAACCAGGTATCCCTTCTCGGTATAGAAGTGAGGGTATCCCAACCGTCAACCGAAAAGGTGGTGGTTCATGGGATTCCCTCCGAATATGACGCAGAAGAGATCCTGGAAGACTTGAAAGACAGAGGATATGCGGTCACGGAGGTGTACAGGTTCAAGATTGCTGAAGGTAATAGCCAGGGAAGCGTCGCCCTGACCTTTAACAACAAAGCACCTGAAATGTTAAAAGTAGTATACCTATCCCGAAGGACCCACGCCTACATCAACAGGGTACGGCAATGTTCCAACTGTCAAAAGCTGGGCCACACAGTCAAGTTCTGCAGGGGAAAGGCTGTGTGTGCCCAGTGCGGTGGGAGTCACGCGGTGGCCGAGTGTAGGGCGGGCATTCAAACAAAATGCTCGAACTGCAAAGGCGGTCACGCAGCGAACTCCCCCGAATGCCCCAAGATACAGAGCACCAAGGCTGCGTTAAAAATACAGGGGAAGGAGAAAGTGAGTTTCAGTGAGGCTGCACTCATTCTCAAGAATAAAGAGCGGGCGATAAAAGATGTCAGGAAGACGGCTCCGGTTAATAAACCAACTACGGAGCCAATTCCATCGACATCGACGCCGGAAGAACCACCAAAGGCAACCCGCTCAGAACCAGTACCAAATACAAAGACTCCAAAGACGAAAACCAACCCAAAGAAAAACGAGGAACCAAAAACGAAAGCTGATGAAACTCACTTTATTCCGAAATTCAAAACGGAGAGTGGTTTCATGAGCTTCATGATTGAATTCCTGAAGGTGGCAGACCAAACGACAAAAATGGCAAGCCTCCTAGGGAAACTTAGAGCGTATATGGTCAACGCAGACGCTCTAATCAACTCTATCAACACAGTCAAGAAAAGATTCAGAGATGAAGACGAGGAAGATGAAAAGAACGATCAAGAGGTAAATCTCGCTCTACGTAGGAGGATATCTCATGTTCGCCACTACAGCACTGAGGTACCTTCTATGGAAAGCGAGACACCAGTAGATCAATAGAACACAACCAATGAGAGGCATCAATCCGGACAGTCATCATGGCGGGCCAGGTAAAGGTTCTTCAACTTAACGTTAACGGACTGGCCCCCAGATGTGCTGAGCTGAGAAAATACATCACCCACAACCCCAAAGATGTAATATGCCTCCAGGAAACCAAGCTACTACCAACTAAGAAAGACATCTACCTACCCGGATACACTTGTCAGAGAAGGGACAGACCGGGCAGCACGACTCGTGGCGGCGGTCTTGCCATCTACGTCAGTGATAACTTAAATTATACTTCTGTTACGCTGGACGTAGCGGGCCCTCTAGAAGCAATGGGCATAGCCATCACATTGAGCAATAATAAAAAAATAGTGAATGTCTATGCACCCCCAATAGTCACGATAAAATCAGTAGACTTCCAGTCACTTCTCGACCAGCTTCCGCAGGGCGAATCTGTGTTTTGCGGGGATTTCAACGCAAAACACGCTCTGTGGGGGTCACCGAGGAATGACTGTCGGGGGACTAGCCTGTGCGCAATAATCGAAGGGAACGACCTATGCGTACTAAACGACGAGAGCCCTACTTTTGTTGGAGGAAATGCCCCACCTTCAAACCTGGATCTCACGCTCTGTACGCTTGGTATGGCAAACCGCTGCGACTGGCAAGTACACGAAGATGAAACACTTGGCAGCGACCATCTACTGATAGAACTCTACATCCAATGTGAAACAACCAGGGAAGTCTATAACGGGAAACCCAATTGGAAAATAAAAGAGGCTGATTGGGCTAACTTCCGTGTAGGCTGCCTTGGGTGGAAAGAAGAAGACATCATCGATGCCAACATCGACGTGTACGCAGCCAACATCACGAGTGCTATTATAGGTGCCATTATAGGTGCCGCAGACGACTCCATTCCCAAGACTTCTGGAGGGCAATCAAGGATTAGAAAACCTTGGTGGTCACCAGAATGTCAGAAGGCGGTTAACGAAAGAAAGAAGGCACTACGCCTACGGAAACGTCACTACAATGAAGTCAACCACCAAAACTACCTGGAGTTGAAATACGCTGCTAGAGACACCATCCGGAAGGCACAAAGTGGGCACTGGATGACATTCTGTAATGCGTTGAATCAAAACACGCAAACAGGTGCCGTCTGGAAGAAGCTAAACGCCATGAACGGGAAGCGCAGATCATTCAACATACCAAACCTAAAGAATGGAGATGAGTACGTTACCAACGGCAATGAAAAGGCAGATCTACTTGCAAAAGCTTTCGCTGACGCAAGCAGGGACGAAAACCAATCACCAGAGTTCCTGAAGAGAAAGGAAATCTTTTACTCACAGCACCCTTCATTAGAAATTGAACCTAATGAAGGGGCTAAGCCAATCAATCTACCCTTCTCTGAAGAGGAGTTAAATAAGGCTCTTTCCCTCAAGAAGGATAGTGCGACTGGTGAGGACAAAGTAAAGTACTCAATGCTCAAACATCTGCCTAGAAATGCCAAAAGGATACTACTAAACTTCTTCAACACATCCTGGCTGGCAGGAGAGGTACCTAAAGAATGGCGGAAAGCCAACGTCATCCCTCTTCCAAAACCAGGTAAAGAGAAAACAAAGGCAGAGTCCTATCGACCAGTAAGTTTGACATCCACACTGTGCAAAACCTTGGAAACAATGGTTAACATACGACTACAGTTCTATCTGGAGAGCAACCGACTGATCGACGAAAATCAAAGCGGGTTCAGGAAAGGGCGTTCAACAATAGACCACTTGGTAAGACTGCAGCAAGTCATGTCGCAGGCACTCCTCTCTGGGAACCTGTTATGTGTCGTGTTCGTAGATTTAACTAAGGCTTTCGATTTAGTCTGGCTAGACGGGCTGCTCTTCAAGTTAGGACGTATTGGTATAACGGGCATAATGTTTCGGTGGATCAAAAGCTTTCTGAGCGATAGAAGGATACAGGTGAATGTTGGCAGATTCCTGAGTGCCGAGCAAACATTAGAAAATGGCACGCCTCAGGGGTCGGTTATCAGTCCCACTCTCTTCAATATCATGATCAACGACATACAGAAATCTTCCTACCTCGACGCCAAAACTGAGTTAGCTAAATTTGCTGATGACAGTACCATATGGAGGAAAGGGAGGAACTTCTGTGAACTACAAAACAACATGCAGAAGGCCTTAGACAAATTCATGGCATGGGCAAACGATTGGGGATTCAAGGTCTCGGAGAAGAAAACAGTCGGCATGCTTGTAAGCAGGGATAGAGGGATAAGCAGAATGACTCTGTGTATGAACGGGAAACCCATCGAGTTTAAAGACCAAACCAAGTTCCTTGGCGTAATCTTTGACCGAAGGCTGACCTGGAAACCGCACATCGACGAGACTGTAGATAGATGCACCAAAATCCTAAACTTAATGAGAAAAATAACGGGCAGTACTTGGGGGTCCAACAGAGTAACACTAATGAGGGTGTATCGTGCTCTAATACCATCTGTATTAGACTACGGCTCTCTGGCCTTCATGAACTGCGCGCCATTACTCT